AATGTCATTCTGAAGATGGTCGATACGAAAAAACAAGTAAAGTATGAGAGATTAAAAAACATTTATTAATCACACGAGACAGCGTTAATGATCTTTTATATTTGATGCTATTATTAATTTGATAAAATCGACTGACAACTTCACCGCCATTTGTGAGCCGATTGTCTAGTAGATGTAGGAGCCCCGACGCCTCCCGACTCCATTGGCCTTCACGGCCTATTACAAGGAGAGTTTACCTTTTATATTGTTCACTTACAGAGGCTGTCAGTGACAGATTTCATAGGATGAAAAATTTGGACGATTCATGGATAATAAATTAGAAAGAATTTAGAGGGAAGCGGTTTTAGCCTAATTTGAAGTGATGTCCCGAAATTTGCATGAGAAAGTAAGTAAAAGTAAAGTAAAGCTATCCCTGTAACAGACCGTGGAGGCCCGTAGCGTTGTGCGATGTTGAGGTTCCCACATTTTCTAAACAAGGTTGTCAGCCCTACATGCTGTCCGCCCTTCACCCCCAAGAATATTACAAGAACTCTCCTTCCATCCGCAAAACTTCCTCCCCTTAAGGGGCCCATACACGTACGCGTCTGGCTTGCGAGTCCGGCCCTGCGAGCTTGACTCGGGAGCCGGGCTCGGATTAATTTCACACAAACGCATGAGCTGACTCCCAACTTTCCGACCCACACACGGACGAGTTTGGCTCACTGGAACCCAAGCCGAGTCGCGAGCCAGATTCGTACGTGTGTGGGGCCCTTAAAAGCTGTTGCTGATTTGAAGCGTGTGATTATTTATATATAGGGCCTAATAACGAGCTTATCTGAGCAAGGTAATGAACTTTCGTGTACGATAAATGGAAGGGAAATCCTGGAGCGTATGAGCTATTGTTAGCTTCTCAAGGAGGGTCCTGGGCCGCCGGTTTAGGTTCCTTATATGCTCATACATCTGGGAAGGAGATGCCTTCCTTAATGAGCGGTTTGAAGACGCTAATAGTTTCTTTCCTTTTTCTTCTTCGCATTCCGAAGTTCCAGTGGTTTATATTTGTGCTAGTCAGGTAGTTGGTTGTCGGTCTTCTTGTTGCACAACGCAAGAGTTGAACACTAAAGAAAGTGCCATCGAACAAACATTCCCTGTCATCCTTCGCGTTCGAGAACTTTAAATAATGCGTTATTTCATTCTTCCTTTAAAACCTTGACATTATGGTTTTCTACACACAGTGCTGGTTACGTAAGTCTGTGGGTTTCCATTACTTCAGCTCATTAGTATGCCTCTTCTAATGCTTTACGCACGTCTGCAAGTGTCCTTTTATGCCCTAATTTACATTCTTGTACCTTCAGTGAAAGCGTTAACACTGAATCAGTTAATTCTTCTTAACCGTGTTTTGATACACATTCAGTACATAAGTCTTAGGTGGTCCAACGATTAGGAACAAGAAGGCACTTTGAAAGTGTCCACATATTTGGACAAACAAATTAAATTGGACCCTGCTTCCCTTCAGCACTCTTTATATTTTATTCGAGAAGATCGGTGGTCAGATCTCCGTCAGCCATTTTCAGTCATTCATCAATGGCTCTACAGCCCTTTGTTGGATCGTGGCCTCTTCTTCAGTTTCGTAATCTTTTTTACGCAGATGGTAGGACTCCTTCGACGGGTGATCAGCCCGTCGCAAGGCCGCTACCTACACGCAGGACAACACAAACTCATAATTAAGGCACTCACATCCATGTCTTTGAGTGGGCCGCTACCTACACGCAGGACAACACAAACACATAATTAAGGCACACACATCCGTGTCTTTGAGTGGGAATCCACGATCCCAGCCTTAGACCGCCCGGCCACTGTGATCAGCCTCCGTCAGCCATACTGAGCGAAATTTGAATAGTACCGTCTTGTTGGATGTGACGTCGTGTAGTCTGGTACTAATTTACCGACGTTTCGGAGCAACGTACAGCTCCATCTTTAGGGTCTAACTGTAAGCAAAGTAAATAAGCTGCAAGAGTACTGCCGTGCAAACTTAAAGACTTGCAACTTTATTTTTTGCTCTCTGAAAGCGAATGTTTTCTTTATTCGAAAAACGCCCGACACAAGACACGCATTTTGTGTAGTACATCGCGTAGCTCCGTGTTTAGTCGTAACAATTGTTGTCCTGTATTCAAACATATCCTTCAATACTTCCCACCCCGGTGGCCTGGGTTCGAGCCCGGGGCAAGTCATGTGTGATTTGTGGTGGACAAAGTGACACTGGGGCAGGTGTACCCCGAGTACTTCGGTTTCCCCTACACATTTTCATTCCACTAATTTTTCCACAATCATCAGCATCTATCATCTGGGACTGGTAAAATAGACCAGTACTTGCCTTAGTATCAAGTGGACTCAGTCTCACCCCACTAAAAATAATAAAAAAATTCATATCCTTCAACATATTTTCAAATGTTATCTATTTATCAACAAGTCATTCTGTTAAGGACTCAAAGGCGTATACCTTCTTTCAAGGGCTCTCTTCTCATCATCAGACCGAAAGGAAAATACACACTTTGCTACGGTATCATGTTGCTTTAATAGTATCAACCGTCGTAATAAAAGTAACATATTTTTTTATGACCAATCTCTCACAGATTTCCAGGCTTCCTCTAACTGAAACATTTGCATGACAGCCAAGTTTGCATCGCGATGGAGGAAAATTACAACCACAATAGTAAGTGGCCTGTAGTCGTGTGACTTACATACTATATTTTGTAAAAATCCATCCGTGTTTTAAACATCGTTAGGGAAGACGCACAGAAGGACCTGATGACACTTAAAGTTTACAAGGAGAAGGAAACTGGTGCAAATGCGGTTCAACTTAACATGCAATTGTTTCTGTGTCTAGTAATCATGCCATAAAGGAGTATGAGGACATGGATAACTTCTGCACGAGGTTGAGATTGGAACTTATTTTTAACCTCTAAATTTCCTCTTCCTTGATAGGAAGCTGGGTGGGCCCCAAAATCGTTATGAACGCGATACCGGAGAAAGACATTCCTCGTCCTTCCGGAAATCGAACCCTTGCTATTGACCGCTTAAACCTGCATGCATAACAAATCTTATTTTTCTCATTGATGTCTAGAACCTTTTCTCGAACAATTTTGATTATTCTAAATTTTGAATTTATATACACCTTTAAGTACAGTGCCAGCCTTCATAGACTTTCATGAGTGTTCACACGAAGTTTCTTGGTGCCTGGCAAAGTTTATCGCGCAAGGTTACGGAAGGTCGAACGGACAGTAATTTTGCTTAACTAATTTGACCAGTATACGCCTGATATGCCAGGATTTTTCAGCCATTAAAGTGGATGGCAACGTTAATGTCTGTGGTTCGATCCTGTACAAAAGCAATAATGTTTCTCTTCGCCATCAGGCCTGTGGGCAGAGCATAACGGGATTTATTTTCTTTCGCCAACGCGAAGCTAAAACTCGTATTCATTAGTGCTGGAATGTAAAATACCCGAAACTTTGACTCCATGCCTTATGTACTCCTCCGTGTCGTGATGTAGTCTCAACGTGAATTTCGGGTTGAGCAATTCCGCTTAATGGATTTGGCGTTTAGAGAGAAATATTAAGTTTACAAGAATATGTTCTGCACCAACTGATACAGATTATGTTCACTCACTCACTCATGCAGCAGAGCCCTTCTGGAGGAGCCGCCAATTCTACAGCTACTCAAGAATTTCCCAGCATTTTATTGAACCCGAAGGTTCATTACCGTGTTCACAAGAGGCCTTCACTGGTCCATATCCTGAGCCCAGATCAATCCAATCCATACCATCCTATCCTATCTCTCTAAGATCCATTTTATTATTGTTCATCCACCTACACTTTGGGCTTCCCAGTGGTCTATTTCCTTTTGGCTTTCCCACCAATATCCTATATGCATTCCTCTTCTCCTCCATTTGTGTTACATGCCCTGCCCACCTCATCCTCCTTCACTTGATTATTCTAATTATACTTGGAGAAGAGTACAAGTTATGTTATGTACAAGTTTCTTTATCTCTCTTCGGTCCAAATGTTCTCCTCAACACCCTGTTCTCAAACACCTTCAGTCTATGTTCCTCCCTTAATGTCAGAGACCAAGTTTCACACCCATACAGAACTACAGGCAAGATTATAATTTTGTATATTCTAACTCTTATGTTTTTAGACAGCAGACGAGAAGGCAGAAGGTTCTGGACTGACTGGTAGCAAGCATTACCCGAGTTCAATCTCCTCTTAATTTCCGCCTGAATCAGGTTTTGATATTTTATCTTCGTTTCCAAATATCTGAACTGTGCCACATTACACAAAAATATTTCTCAACATTATTGAGATGAAGGACCACATTTTGCAATATTTAATGAACAATGTGGTAACAACTTGCGTGTACGGCACCGTGCGACTCAGAAACAAGGACAAAGAATGTGTTTGTACGCGCGATGTGCGTGTTACTGTACGAAACAAAATAACGATATTTCTTAAACAGCTCTTTGATGGAAGTGTCACGTGGGTTAGGAGACTTCCTCAGTAAAAACTTTGTTACATGTAGGAAGCCGCAATGGACAGAATTAATATCTCTGACTGAAATAACATGTGTCGCGGGCAACACTTTGCACTTGGAACTTCAAGGCTGTCACTCGGAGAACATGAAAATACTTTAAAACTCTTCCGATAACTTGACACACTTCTTCATTCCTCTAACACAATTGCTTCGTGTTGTATCACGAGAAGGATTGTATATGGTTACTGCGATGACACAAGAAATGAATCAACGAACACGAGGCATATGGTCCCACTTGATTCATTCTTTAAGCAAATTATATCCTCATATATCACAGTTAGAATAAAATGTAAAAAGGATAAAGAACAGTCACACTGTGCTTAAATGAACCTGGACTGAGACAGGAACACGAAACATAATTTTTATTACGTTATACAATCTCTAGGAATGGAGCCCTGTAGATTTGCGGACCACAATTTGAAAACCACTACACTAACCTGTGAATGTTCTACAGCTCGTAGCATGGCGCTGACCAGTGGAGCCTGACGAAGATGCGACAGGATCCATGGCACACTCAACATGAAGGCAGCGCTGTGGGTTCTCTCTGTGTTATAGTGGACAGGTCATATAAACCGAGGCGACAGGAGTGGGGGCAATTTGGAATCCTCAAAAGAAATAAACTGCCGGGTTTATCCAGATGGCTCATCCTTGCAGGATCTGAGGGCTGTCAAGGTAAAATATGTGACTTTTGTGTGCGTACTTCCCCCTCTTCTTTTTTTTCCCCTCTGCAAGCCAGAATCTGTCATGTCAGTCAACATTCTTAACAACGCGAGATACTGGAGATGGAATGAACAAACAAGTGAGAACGCGCTATTCAGCGGAACATCTCCCCACTTCCCATTTCTACACGTAATATGAAGCATTGCATTTGTTTGCGTCTGCTGAATAGAATACTGCCACTTGACCGTTGAGGCTCAAGCACAAACTCCCACTCATTTTACGTAATACTCTGATGTGTTAATGTCACACGTTAAATGATTCAAAGCTGCGGTTTGTCGTCTCTTAGAAGCATATATCGCTTCTGAGTTAACTGTTTGAACATCTCCTTCATTTTCTCTGACGGTTTACTCAAGAAGCGACGAACTGAACAAGATATTTGCTATAAAGCCGGTCACGGTAGCTGAGCGGTCTAAGGCATGTACTGTCTTCGCTCGCTTGGAAACCGGGATCGTGGGTTCGAATCCGACTAAGGGCATGGACGTTTAGTTTGTGTGTGCGCGTTTTTCTGTGTTTGTGTACAGGTAGAGGCCTTGCGACGAGCTGATCACCCGCCCAAGGAGTCCTACCGAATGTGTAAGATCTAGAAAAACCGAAAGTGAACGGAGAAGTTCATGGAGGTAGGCCTAGGCCCACTGGGGCTGTAGTGCCAAGGAAAAAATAATTGCTATAAAGTAAAAATAATACTATTTCCGTTATGTCAGAATCAGTGAATTAGGCAATGGGGTTAAGGCAGTAACGTAAAATTCGTAAGGAGAGGAAGTAAACTTCCAAACTTCTCTCACCTTTAGAATCTGACGATGTTTTACTTTAAATAATGGGAACTGTACTACTAATTCCTGCGGTTGCATTACACCAAAAAGTAACTACTTAATTTGTTGTTATAATGAAAATAAGTTTAGGATACTTAAACTGTCTGGTATTTCTGTTTGATAATTCGCACACTTCAGTTGCTCTGCGGGTGGGTTCGCAAATTGGCGTCCTTCTGGTATTTTTTCTTTTATGATACTTTAATGAGCCGATCAAGGTAGCCGTGTGGTCTAAGGCGTCCACTGCCTTCCCTCGTTCTGAAGTCTGGGTCGTGAGTTCGAATTCCGCACAAGGCAAGGAATTTTGGTGTGTATGCGTTTATTTTGTGTTTGTGTTGCCCCGTGTTTAGGTAGAGGCCTTGCGACTAGCTGATCACCCGTCCAATGAGTCTCATCATCTGATAATGATCATGAAACTGAGAAATTAGCCCGATGCTTCAAAGTTGGAGCAAGAGGAGAGAAAAACATAATTCTTTTAAATCTCTTCCCGTTAAAAACTGTTTCAGGTAAATTAACTAATTACGTTTGACTTCTAAAGTCTTCAACACATCAACTTAAAGTCATTATTTAATATTTTATTATTAATTAATTGCCGTCATCGTATTAGGTGTTTATTTAGCTTACTCTAAAGTGATTTTGTGAGACCATCACGTGACTTTAACGGACTGATGAGTGGACAGCTTCGCTTTCCAACTGCATTGCTCCAGAACGAAGATCCTCCGTTAATAATTAAGCGGGATGGTGGTTGGCCTATGTCGGATATTGAACTGTGTTGGCGGACATAGATGAATTTGAACTTCGCAGTTGGTTAACAGTCCTGCTGTGAGGTTCCCTGTTAGATTCTTTGTACGGGTACGCTTATTATGGAAATTGTCTTGGACTACGACCGTGTCCTTTTACGTCCTTCCCTTTTCTATTCGCATTCGAAAACTCTTCTTTCTTACTTGTGATATACACGTAGTAGTGACGCTGTCAGCAGTTCAGACTATGTAGAATGAGATGGCAAACAAGACCGTATTTTTTTTATTGCTAGTGGGGTGGGACTAAGTCCCTTGTACTGCGGCCACTTCTGGCCTATTGTACCAGCCCCAGATGATAGGTGAGGGTGATTGTGGAACAATTGGTGGAATGAAGATTGGCAGGGGAAACCGAAGTACTCGGAGAAAACCTGCCCCAGCGCCAATCTTTCCACCACAAATCCCACTTGACCAGACCCGGGATCGTACCAGGGCCGCCGCGGTAGGAAGTCAGAGACTAACCACTTAAACAGGACCGTAACTGTCAAACAATAATAAATATCTGTTCATGAGCCCCAGATGGTGCTTGACACCAAGACGTACTGACTGGCTGAACATCTGTCGTAATGTGACTTTGACTTTAGAAATGAAGTCAAGTTAGGAGTGAACTTTGACTTCAGTTCAGTCCTTCCGTGTGGAGGCGGTGTCGAATACCTTCAACCGTATCTCTGTGAGTCGTAAGAGACGACAAAAAGGGAAGTCTCGATTCTGAGACAGCAAAATATTGTCGGGAATCCCACGGGACTCGGACCCGAGAATGACTGCTCTGGTGAGGGCCAGTAACAATTGTAAACGACAGACACGTCATCCCGTCAGAGAGAGCGCCCCACATCAGCATATCCGCAACTGTCTGATATTAATAAAAATCTGATCGTAAGCCCCAAATTGGTGCTTTATTCCAAGAAAGACCGGCCGACTGACCGTCGGTCGTGATATGACTCAGGCTCGGGCTCGGGCTCAGGCTGAGACTCAGGCTGAGACTCAGAAGTGAAGTAGGAAGAAGAAGCAGAATACGAGGAAACACTGAAAGTGTGTGATTGTATAGTGAAGTCAAATAAACCTAATCATGAAATCTAGAATCTATAATTATTAGTGACGCCTACTCCCTACACGTGACAATATGTAATCCACATTCATTCGGTAGTTGGAATCTCAAAACATGCGAAAGGATATAACTTCCAACTTGATGTTGTTGATACCAGGAAGTTCTGGGAAAAACTAACCTCCTGCTTTCCTTTCGCTGTAATTTAAGTACCTGATACGTGAAGTACAACGAAAACTTTAGTATGCAGGAGTAATGTAGCCAAACAATACAATTTGGGTGACTTCGGTGTGGTATTACTAATGTGGAGTTATTTATGAAGTGCACAGCCGATATGGCTTCAGATGGCATGATATATATATACCAGGTACCACGAAGATTGGTTCGGGAGTTTAAGTAATTTTAAGGTTATCATTTCGACAATTTTAGAGGCTGCAATGTTAGTATCGCTGATGGGAAGAATTTATTGTATAATACTGTTGATATGATCTCAGATAGCATGACTTATGTGCCAGGTTTCATGATGATCGTTTCAGGAATTCAAGCAATATTAAGGATATTACCTCAACCACTTGAGAGGCTGTAGTGTTGGTACTACTGATGAGAGGGATTTCTTAAGTACGGTGCTGAGATTATTTCAGGCGGCATGTTGTATGTTCCAAGTATCATGACCATCGGTTCAGGCATTCGAGGAATATTGAGTGTATTACCTCAACATTTGAGAGTCTATAGAGCTGGTATTACGGGTTAGAAGGATTGATGGTGTACGTCCTTGAGTTGGCCTCAGTCCCGTGATGTATACACACTCTTGTCCATGAAGATCGGTACATGCATTCAAGCAGTACAAATGCTTAGCCTCAACAGTTTGAATGGCTGTAATGTTGGCATTACTGATGCAAGGGATTTATGATGTGTGCCGCTGAAATGGCTTCATATTGCATGATTTGCTTTCCAAGTTCCATGAACAGGCGTCCAGGGAATCTTGCATCAGCAATTTGATTGGCTTTAATATTGGTATTACTCATGGAAGGAATTTATGATGTGACCATTGACATGGGCTCATGTGACATGATATACATACCAAGATCCATGGCAATCGGTTCAGGCATTTAAGTAAAGTTACGGTTACTAACAGAACAATTGGAGAGGTTGTAATGTTGGTATTACTGATCAAAGGAATTAATGAAGCATACCGTTGAGATGACTACTTGTGGCATGCTATACCTACCAAGTTTTATGAAGATGAGTACAGGTGCGCAAGCAATATTAAAGTTCTGACTCAGAAATTTTAGAGGCTGTAATGTTAGTATTACTGATGGAAGCGATTTATGAGTTAGGGCGTTGTGATTGGTTCGAGTACCTTCTTATACGTACAAAGTTTCATTAAGTTGGTTCACACAGTCAATGGTTAAGAAGAAAGTGGGGGGGGGGACACATGCAGACACACAGACAAGGTGAGTACACTAATTTTCTCGAAGTAAGGAAAGTTGGCTAAAAACATGGAATAGAACAGATTGATCTATAGGTAATGTTCAAGGCTCGTATGCGGGTGTTAACTAAGTTTTCCTCATTCATTCCAGCTAACAGTGAGAGAATGGAATCCTCATTTAGGCCAGGACCGCTTGCTTCAAAATCCTTCCCAAATTATGAGTCATCCTAGTGCCCAGCGCTACAGGTGACCAACAGAAGAACCTGAAACAATGACACAAGAAGAGTAAGGGAATTGTTCAAGGGAAATCTTTGTTGATTCTATGTTGCGCGGGTCGATAGTTGCTTACTGTCAGACGAAGTGAAGAATAAGACCGAGTTGTAAAGAGACTTACTTCAAACCTATTATATCTGGATATAAATATGTATTATATAACTTAATTGCCAAGAGGGCGTTTGTTACGGATCTAAATGCTGTTCAGAGCTCGACTTAAACCTATTGATCACTGAATCCTTGTCTCTGTAGTGAAATTTGCGCCATTACCAACTCGATATTTTTATATAAATAGAAGAGTGATCAGTCCAGAGTAGAGTTATGCACGAGTTCTCAAAATGCAGCATTTTCCAGTTGCCACACCTGTCTTATCAATTATTACAGATGCAGATCCACTATTACGAAAGTATTCATGCTTAGCTAAACAACTGCATTGAATCATAATATTCCTCACTGACTCATGGAGGTGAGACCTTCTTGTAAAGCTAACAATTGTACAGCTACTCAAGAACTACCAAAAATTGTATGGAATCCTAA